AACCTACAACCCCACTCAGAGATAAGGAACAGTGGTTATCAACTGTTATCGAAAGCTTTGTGCTGCAGGCTCTGTGCACGCTCATATTAAAATGGGTTTTTGACACATTATTCCACAATTTAGCACCACGATTTCAATCAAAGGAATTAAAAAACAGGTGATACAGACCATTAAGAATATAAAAACATGAAACATTGGTGCAGTGAATAAGACAAAAAATTAATTCTTAATACTTGTGAGTTTTGATTATCGCATTCGCTCTCTGCGCTGCTGTTTATTGCAAACCAGGCAGCTGATCTATAAAAAGCTTCTCAGTGAGGTCGCACAGACCTTCAGCTTAATTAAGACATGCAAATCATTAGCTTGTAGGGGCTATCCCATCTTTAAGGGAGGACGTATGAACCCTGCTTCCGTGTCCAAAATGCTCTGTGTTTATTAGGCTGTTGTGTTTTAAACATGTTTTTAACCTGCTAACTCCGTTAAACTTCATAAATCCTGTTTTCATGGATGCCTGGATGTTAAACTTAATTGTTACACCTGGTAGAGCAGCAACACTGATCATTTTATTACAGATGAAAGAAGTTTGTAAGTCTCAGTGATGCTGCAGCGTTCGTTTGACTTTGGGACCTGAAACGGCGAATGACGTCAGACTTAAAGACTGGATTGTTGCTTTAAATACTCTTTCCTAACTTTAATTTAGCTCGGAGAAGTTGCCAAAATAGCTCGAGTGGTGGATTAGTGTCCACAGCAACACATGTCAGCAGCTGTTTTTGTCTTTTTTCAAAGAGAGGAAGTCAATCTGGGTGAAAGGTCAAATCATCAGAAGCACCGGGGAGGCTAAATAAATGAAAACAGTATTGAAGGTGCTAAACAGATGATTATTTTCACAGGAGGCTGCGTGTAGTTTACACAGACTTTGAATCCAGTTTCTCTTCTGCTTCTTTTTAATTAGCCATACGCGCTCACATGCGAGCCGCGCCCTGCTAGCTGCAGCGCTTTGTTTATGTTAGTGAGGAGCTCATCTTCAGACGAGTTCGCCGCACGGTCTGCGGGTTCAAGCAAGTTCAACTACAATCCAGCATCTACGCTTCAGACATGCACTCACACATACAGGCCTGTGATTAAAGAGCACGAAACAGAGCTTTTCCTTTAACGTCGACCGAACCAGCAGAAAACTGCTTTTCATGCATTGATATCTCTCAGATTATAACTCCACACGCACAGGCAACATGCCTCTCCGCCCCTCAACAGTGGAACCAAAACGAAGCGATTAGAGTTTCAACTCTTCACCTCACCGTCGAACCGCCGCTAGATCCGCCACCGGGCGTAATTACAGGTGGGGAGGAGACGGGCGGCGGGCCAGCCCGATCAGCCTGCTTGCGTCAGAGATGACTCTGCCTTCACCTCACGGCAATGTGCGCGCCAACACACACACATGCGCACGTTCAACAAGAAGAGGTGTATAGTAGCAACCACAAAGAATTAAATATGTACAAACAACACAGGAGGAGGAGGAGCAGAAAGTTCAGGTATGTGCAGCTACACGGGCTGACACACTTAAACACGACCTCAGAAAAAGGCTCTTTGAAGCTCACTCAAAAATGCGAGCAGCGTTTTGAGGAACTGGTGAACGGGACAAAACGTCTTCGCCCGCAGGCGAAAGAAATTCTCACACACGTTCACTGATTTATGTGGATCTGACAGCTCCAGAGAAGCAGGTCAGCAGAAGGTGGGACTGATTCTCCAACAGATCATCCACCTTTGTTTCATAAATCCCTGTTTTTAAATTCTTCCAAAACAACAAAATCATAGCAGTTGCATAGAGGAGACTGTGGTAGGTTATATATGGGATGAGATGAGCCTCCTAGGTCACTTGTTTCAAAAGGTAGGTTCCACCCAGTGACCTTTGACCTGATTTACTTGCAGTGTGATTTACAGCATTCAGCAGGAACATATATACAAAAGTTATCCTCCAAGAGTGGATTTCACCTGAACAGGTGAAATTTCTGTTCCTATTCAGAATATCAGGTAACGTACTCATGAAGTTGTATCAGAAAATATTTAAAATCTTCGGGTCAGAAAAGTTGTTGGACCTCCGTGGGGACAAATCAGCTTCATCTCATTCAAATCCTCAGATGAATTATTTCCTTTCCTAGTTTCCAGATTTGGGTTGTTTCTGGTCGAACTGAAGGATTTCTTGTACCTTCAATGAAAGTCACAGTGTTGGGCAGACGTATCTGTACATATGTGAAAAAGAGCTTTCTGCCGTCTATGCACCACAGGTATGTGCAGCTACACATACTAACTGTGAACGTCCCAAACATGAATGATTGTGAACTCTCAAAATAAACTTCGTGTTTTTATTTGAGTCACAAAAGCGGGCAGGTGGTGCCCTCTTGTGGTCACATTTGTGCTTTACACA